TAAGACTAATAAATATCTGCTACTAGTTGTTTATTGGTTTTTCAACATATTCTTCTTTCATCGAAGAAGTGTTTAATGCGATACGAAACTCGTAATGTTTTGTGAAATTTCTACTAAACCTTTAATGCTACTAAACCACTTTGCCGATTTCGTATACTCTGTACAAAACCATGTAGAAAAAAATTTTGTTTTGAGGTTTCGTACCATCTAACAAACCCTCTGAATTTCGAAATTTCGCTACAAAACCATTAAAAGTTTCGAAGCAATACACCAAACCTTAATGGTTCAGTATGGAGCCTTCTTTTTTTAGAGAGTATTCTTGAGTAAAAATAAAAATCTACCTCTAATCTACAAATCGCTGAATACACGATAAATTTATTTTATGCTGAAATAATCTAGGATTAAAAGACGCATAATTCTGATGATGTTGTCCAGAAATTTCCTCAAAAACTTCATGTTTTTATCTTCTGCGCTGTATTCCAAATTAAGTAGTCAGCAACAAAGACCATGCAAGTGTATCTCGGACTTCAAGTTACAGCTCAAACAAACAACTTTCAGTAGATCTATGTATGTGTTAATATGAGGTGCCCAAAAAGGTCGTGTCTGTGCCAAGTTTCTCGACACTAAAGCACTTGGACGAAAAACCAATATGTGCATTAGATAACCCATCAAAAATAAGCGGAAGATCCATGAGAGTTTAAAAATAAATCGCTTTGGTTTAGTCAAAAAATTAACTAAACTCGACTTTCGGTAACGCACAGCAAAACGATCTGGAAAACGTTTAAATTGGTGAAAAGAAAGCCCAGACTCTGCGCTTCAACATCATATAAGATACTTTATGATCATCACTTTCGTTCTTCCGGTGTATACTTTTTTCTTGTAGCATGATCAATCAATATTAGCAGTGATCCACGATTTTGTTTGATCCATGTTTTTTCGATTAATAAGCATGAATAAGTAGAACAAAAGACAGTGTCCCATACAGAAAAGTATGCTTTACAATGTGATGACTTTTAATTTTGTTTAGTATTAACTTCTACTTTAATTATGCTGGTTGACCGTTAGCCGTTTTTCATGTTAACAGGCTTACCGAGCGGCGAAAAATGAATTCTAAAATTTTTAAGGTAGTCCATCTTGTAGTCCGTGAAATTCTCTATTAGATGAAGCATTGCTTGAATTGAGTCATTATTTTACAAATGGAACTTTATGCTAGTAGAGTAGGCTAAACGAACGTTAATTAGTACTAATTAGTCAATAACAGGAAGGAAAGAACTAAACGTTTTTGCACATTTTCTCGTAGAAAATATTCTCCACACATTTCTCTATTGATCTAGGCAAAAACGAAGTCTTTATGATGAATGTAGAATGGACAGGAATTTTTTTAATAATAGTCCCCTTGTTCAAAAATTTAACAGTATTTTTGTTAAGTAATTAATTAACGCTTCAGGGCATATACTTCGAAGTGTTCTGTACAAACTGGGAACGTTAGAGCAAAATCTAAATGGCCTTTAAGCTGTCTCCAGGTCATCAATGAATATGATAAACAATAGATGAACAAGAATGCTCGCCTGAGGAACTTCACTGTTGACGGTGTCCTCGTCTGTGACGTAGCCCATTGACTACTGTCCAAATTTTCTTCAGGTGTAAATAACTTTTAACCACTGCAAAACTTGTTCTGACACACCTTCTTGCCTTAGTTTAAGCAGCAGTTTTTCATGTCAAACAGAATCAAATGCGCGCGAGAAGTCTAAAAATACCGCTTTCACAAATTTGTTATCCTCTACAGCTTCGTTAATGTAGTAAATGAGCGTGATTAGTTGATTAACACATGAGTCCTTTTTAACGAAGCCAGATTGGTTAGTTATGATTAGTTTGTTGTTAAATAGATAAGAATATAGATATTTGAAGTTGACTCACTCCATTATTTTGCCCAAAATGGGTAAGAGTATAATGGGCCTATACCTGACAGTAGACTAAAAAGCGTGTGATGGAATTTTAAGATATGGTTATCGATAGAGTTTCAAGTGCTGAACAAAACCCAATGGTTTTTGAATGTCTAAAGGAGGATTTTGAACAGATTTTAAAGAGGTTTCGAGAAACCACAGGCAAACTTTAGCTTCTTTTCCAGTATTATCAATAGTTCCAATATTTTGTCTAGTTTTTATCGCATATGATGCATGGAAACGACGTTATCTTGACCTTTAAAGATTTTCTATGGTTTTTTCATAGGTTTTTGACGTTTTACTACGACACAGTAGTTTTTTTCCATTCTGTAATGTAGTATTTCACAGTTAAACACACTTTTTCCTCGTATCAAAGCTTCTGACAGTATCCAGATACATCAGTTTGTTCTTTTGTTGCCCTGTCATGTAGTACTGCTTCCATTTGAATTTGATCTGACGTTTTACACAGCACGCAGTTTTTTGCATAGACACAAAAGTCCGAGTCAAAGTAGATTTTCAAAATTATATTAACCTTTCAAGTATCGTTCATTTTTCTTATTGTGAATATGACCGCGTTCGGCAGGCAACGAATAAGCTTTTTTACGAACCACACTATTTTTCATATCTGTTTCATATCCGTACAGTTGAATGAAATTTGTGACATACGTTTAATAAATAGTTCAACATCATCAAAAGAAAACTTCGATACAAGACGTATCAGACATAATACTCTCTTTTTGTATTCTTCTAAGCTTGTGTTTCGACTCATACAGCCAAATGGAAGCTGTATGTTTAACTATGAAATACTACATTACAGAATGGAAAAAAACTACTGTGTCGTAGTAAAACGTCAAAAACCTATGAAAAAACCATAGAAAATCTTTAAAGGTCAAGATAACGTCGTTTCCATGCATCACATGCGATAAAAACTAGACAAAATATCGCAAGTATTGATAATACTGGAAAGAAGCTAAAATTTGTCTGAGGTTTTCTCGAAAACTCTTTAAAATCTGTTCAAAATCTTCTTTTAGACATTCAAAAACCATTGGATTTTGTTCAGCTCTTGAAACCCTATCGATAACCATATCTTAAAAATCCATCACATGCTTTTAGACTGCTGAGAAAAGAACTAAAATATAAATTTTACTATGTGGATGTTTGAAAAACCTTTCGAAAAGCCTTTTTATCCAAGGTCTGGAGCTCACCAACTGTCCAGATATATTCAGCTTTTCGAACTCTATCAAACCACGTCCTTGAGATGTTTCCACTAGCTTGTGAACGCAAGGAGTGCAGTTTTAAAGAAAGTTAAAACTTCAAATTTCAGATGTTACATGCCTATTTCAGTCGTGTTGATAAACCACCGAAAATTAGCAACTCAAAATCGATTGTGCACAAAGTGTCATTATTCACACGAAAAAACAATGCCTGAAGAAAAAGGTATGTTTGCTCTCTATTGTTGCTCATAATTCCGAAAAGGGAAAAGAGATTACATACGATCACACCGTATTCTTTTATTTTTTAAAGTGTTTTTAGAATGAAGTTGTATTTGTACATTCAGTCTGAATGAAAGTTACTTCCTTTCGTCAGCAAAATGAAAAAAATTTCTCGTAATAATTTCCAAAATACAAAAACAAGAAATGGGATTCCAGATGATTTACCTTTCATTATCCCAAAGATATATTAACCTAAAACTGATTTGAGTAGTGATCATTCAGAAGTCTTCCAGTGTCGTGATTAAAAAGTGTACGATGTTTTTCACATTCCTCCAGGTCGTCCGTCAGGATACAGCCAAACCTCAAGATTATCTAATCGTCCAAGAAATTCCAGAACATATGCAGCAGCCTGTGTCATTCTTTGTAATGCAAATTGATTTATGTTTTGCACTGTATCGCAATCCAAATGATAGCATGGATCATATGCTGTTTCAGCCATGCCCCCCCTAGAGACGAACCCAAAACCTTATCATAATAATCGCGTTCACTTTTCGATTTTCTCTCCTCGGCTCCTGAAAACAATCCTGATGCAACAACACCGGCTTCCAAAAATGGCCCATAGTCTGATCGTCCACTAAAATCAGTATAATTCCATGGCAATAACTGGTTAGTAAACCAATCACGAAATAATTCTGACAGTTTAATACTACCGGGAACTGTTTTATTTGATGTAGAACTCGGTGCGCTACTTCCATTATAAATACCAAACATGTAATTTGGTGAACCAAGCATATCATAGTTCAAATTAACTAAATAGTCTGAAATACGTTCGCCAACCGTTGTATTTTGTCTTGCCATATCACGGTGATATTC